GCCTCCCCCCGCACTCTCAGACAGTACATTCCAGACCCTAACCACTCGAATGAACCTGCCTCCCCCCACACTCTCAGACAGTACAGTCCAGACCCTAACCACTCGAGTGAACCTGTCTGCACTACCCTTCGAAGTAAAGGCCAACATTGCATTTGCCTTTCCTATTACATACTGAACTTGTATATCCTGCAAGAGGACCCTAAAACACTCTGTGCTATAGTTTTGTACAGTCTTTCTATTCTTCTTGCCAAAGTGCATAACTTCACATTTCCTCATATTATAGTCCATCTGCCATGTTTTTGCCCATACACTTAGCCTGTTGATTTCCCTTTGCAGACTGCACCATCTTCACCAGTACCTTCCCAATTATTTTGTCTCATCCACAAACTTGGCTATAGTACATTCACTTCCTCATCCACGTCATTAATATATATTATAAATAATTGTGGCCCTTGTACTAATCCCTGTGGCACACAACTAGTTCACAAGTTGTTATCCTGAAAATGCCTCCCTTCTCCTAACACTTTGTTTTTCTGTTAATCAATTCTCTGTACATGCTAATAGACTACCTTCAGTGCCATGGGCTCCTATATTATTGTGTACCTTAACGTGTAGCACTTTAAAATGTTTTCTGAAAATTCTGAATATATTACATCCGCTGGATCCCTATTATCTATCCTGCTTATTACCTCCTCAAAGAATTCCACTACATTGATTGGGCATGATGTGGGGATGAGATTATGACCTGAAAAGGAAGAATGTACAGGGCTACAGGGAGAAGATGGGCAGATGTTGGGAAGAATGTAACGCTAGTCGTGCACCTTAACCATCCTTTCAAACTGCAGCACACACCATTCAGCTGAAGGTGATCATTGGGGATAAAGGCGGTTATTTCACTGCTCTATTGTGTTTTGTTTGGAGGTGAGGGCAACTTCCTTCTGGGCTCGTACCTGGAGGCAATACAAATCTGGAGGGCTGCGCTTCAAGAGGAAATGGGTAGAGGTAAGTGGACCCACCTGAAACTGTAGTTACAGCGGCAGTTCTCCTGTTCTGGAGATACAGACATTTATTCATTCGTTCTTTCTCTGGATGAAACTCACTTTCCTTTCAAGACCCCAGAACCCCAGCATACTCTACCCTTCTCTCTATTGCCGTGTCCTGCTCAGCTCTAGCCTTTGACTTTGTGTCACATCTCTTGGTATTGTGTTGCTGCCTGGTGCATTTGGCTTAACATTGTGCACTCATCCTGTTTCACTGAATACAGATGGGAGGAGAGTGAGCTACTTGCAGACTCGTTACAGCCTGGCAATTCTTTACACCCACCTCTATCTTTACAACCTCAGAGCTGCTCAACACTTTTGCGAACACCTTGTGAGACGGGTCGTAAACCAAGATCAGTCAGAGATCTCTGAAGGTATGTCATAATGTAAGAGTGTGCTGTATGGCCCTGTGTGTAATATCAGTGTGTTACAGTGAGGGTCAGCGTGCGCGCTGTCAGTGTGTTACAGTGCGGGTCAGTGTGCGCGCTGTCAGTGTGTTACAGTGCGGGTCAGTGTGTGATATATCAGTGTGTTACAGTGCGGGTCAGTGTGCGCGCTGTCAGTGTGTTACTGTGCGGGTCAGTGTGTGTGATATCAGTGTGTTACAGTGGGGGTCGGTGTGCACGCTGTCAGTGTGTTACAGTGCGGGTCAGTGTGGGTAATATCAGTGTGTTACAGTGCGGGTCAAAGTGTGCAATGTCAGTGTGTTACAGTGCGGGTCAGTGTGTGCGCTGTCAGTGCGTTACAGTGTGT